GGGGGGGGGTGGGCAAAAAATCGAAAAATCCTCTGCCCTCCCCCTCCCCCCTTCTTCCCACCATTAGCTTGTCTGTAATCAGCTCTGGAAAGAGGGAGCTATCGACAGCCTTGCCATCGACAATAGTTCCTGTTCAGTGCTTGCTACTTTTGGAATACTTCCGAATGTGCAGATTTTGGGAAGCAAATTCGAAGGAAATTCTGATTTTTGTGTTTTCACACGTCACAATTTTCGGTGTACAGCACATGAAATACCAACGTGGCGTATTTTTAGTGCAGTTTTTTTCAGGTAGTGTTAGTTTTCCAGGGTGGCTATGAATGCGGAGAAGATCAAGAAGTTGCAACAGAATGCAGCGCAGGTTCGCACTGGTGGCAAGGTGAGAGTGCCAGTTTTTATGCGTTTTTTTGCAGCGATGCAATGCGAAAAACGCATATTGACGAGAGGTTGTCTGTGTGTCCGTGTGTCGGTGTGCGCATCTGTCACGCACTTTCATCTCAGGACTTGTAAAAACTGCGGGACTGAAATTTCTGCATGCACGTTCCGGCCCCAATCCCCAAAATTGGCGCCAAAACCCGCGTGGTACCCGCGTACGGGCCCGCAAAAATTTTTTTCGGATAAGTTCATAACTCGGGGATCTGGGAAGCTAGAAAGCTGAAGTCTTGGGGTAATGTTCCCCGTCGAAGCGGGTATTGGTGGGCTCAAACCCAGCCCCCCGGGTAAGCGTGGGTCCCAAGTACGGGCCCGCAAAAATTTTTTTCGTGTAAATTGATAACTCAAGTACCTGAGAAGCTAAAGGAATGTAATTTTAAGAGGATATGCCCCGCCCACATAACTCAAGTACCTGAGAAACTAAAGGAACGCAATTTTAAGAGGATATACCCCGTCCAGCTAAGTCTCAATAGCTCTGAGAAGCTAAAGGAATGTAGTTTTAAGAGGATATACCCCGTCCACCTAAGTTTCATTCAGCTCGAACCCAGCTCTCAGAGTATTCTTGGTAAACATGCACGGGCCCGTGAAAATTTTGTTCCAGTAAGTTGCTAACTCAGGTGCCAGGGAAGCTAGAATGCTGGAATTTTAAGGGGAATGTTTTCTGACAATTCTGGCGGTCAGTCTTAATTTGCTTAGCTAGAAGCGTTTGCCGAAAAAACCGGTGCCGGTTGCAACAAAAACTGCGAGAAACCATGCAAAAAACACATCTTCGCACGGGCAGCCCGTGCGTTGGCCAATTATTTTGTTTGATTCTGCTACTAAAGTGCGTCAGAAAAGCGGCGTGCAGAATATCATTGCGACTGCGCGAGAAAGTAAAAACCGATGTTGCTCATCTTGCCGACAACTGATGGACGACGCTCATCAGATAGTGACGTCCACGAGAAAGTAAACGACCATTCGGGCAATCC